GTGATTAAATCCCACTGCAGCACTGCAGGCTTATTTCTGCCGTTTCCCCACCTGGGAGCCGATGTCATTGAAATACTTTAAGAAGCCTCATTTTGGTAGGTTTTGGTCCTTGAGGATGGCGGCAATACGACATTAGAGTCAATTTCCTTGGTTTAACCGAACTATCGATTACTGAACCCCGAGACGTCATGACCTTTTACCAGAAGCCGCCGATCGATGGGAAGGCCATTTATCTACAAATTGCGTACGGTGAACTTCCTTGTGCGTCGCGGTCCCCCCGCAGGCGGAATTCAATAGTCGCACAGTTGGTGACATTCACGGACATTTTTCAAGCGCGTCGTCAATCCTCCAGAGTCATATAACCTTGCCCCGTCTCACAGCTGGTAAGGAGAAGGAAAGTTTCTCATCCTTGTGTTGAGTGCATGCAGGTATTATAAACTAACTGTAAAACTTCTTGGGACATTTGAAGCAGATGCAAAACTAGTTCTTATTAAAATGCGTAATGCGAAAGGTTTCCTTTTCCGTCTTCTTCATAAAAGTCAGGACCTAGTTTCGTCACAGAACATGAGTAGACGATCAATTTATGCTTTCGAATGAACAAGACGTAGTGACGGCAGAATGTCTTTTGTGTCCTTCTAAAGCCTCCTTGTTATTGACTCCATGTCTGGCGCAACTCGCCATGCTGTCCCAGATTAATCCTGTATGTGCCGTCCCGAGTGGAATTACTTGTACCAGGCCAGGCTGTTAACGCACCGTGGGATAAACGATAATTGGAAAAAGGTCTCAGCCAAGGAATCAATGGGGAACTTAATCGTGGAGGAAATGGTCTGTGGCTGCAAATGGCATTTGACAGAGATCCACAGGTTACATGGTTCAAGGCTAGGAGCTGTGCTATTAGACAACTATCGAGCCGATGGATGGAAACTTTCACACCTCTTTCTGCGACACTGTGACACAGTGTCACATCAGGATCGTGATATGGGTATGATTCATAGCTGCTTGCTAGCCAAATTCACTTTTGATTAATGATTACAATATTACCTCCCTGTAATGGGTGTTGTTTTCTGTGCGTTTGTTTGTGTATCCGTAGTTATTTGAAACAGTAGAGTTACGAAATTGGGGGGAGGGTGGTAACCGCAGACTGTCAGGAAGGTCAAATTGGAAATGGCCTCCATGTAGGCTAGGAGGAAGTGCATTACGTATATGACTACTTGCAATCGGGAGCACTGAAAGAAAGTCAGGTCAAAGGTAACCCCGAACGAATAAGTTATCAAAGGTTATCTCAGCCCCGTCTAGTTGACAGCTATATTCATGTATATGTTACCTTATGATAGCTGGTGGCAAAACGCATTTACAAAACCACCGAACAACTCACATTAATGAATGAAACAAGAAATTCACAGCAACTCTGACTAATTAGCTTTCCACGGAGATCTGAAAATCCATCGGTTCCTTGTTTCGGTCAAACATCACAAAAAAACGTCACGATAATACATAATGTGTTTTAACAATGCCAATTTTACATGCAGTGCAATCACACAGATTGATACCACACAGGATATATATGTATAAAATATATACGATACATTTACATTCATGGCAATTTATTGAAATCTTGACTGGCAATGTTGACTAGTACCCTAGAGGCAATAATTCATACTTGTTGTCCAGACAAAGTAGTCACTACTAAGACCAAACATGGCGGGTTAGACTCACATAACACATTCATTCCAGAACCACTGGTTTGCTAACGACAGGACCAGACAAATCACCATCGATTTCCCTGATTTATACCCCAACCAGATCATTCCGACAGCGATATTCGTCATTCCGGGGATTTTTTATGTCCAATGACACGATGATATTTCTAAGTTGTGGCGGGGCGTCCCCCGGCCGGGCGTGATTGGTGGGCATCCAGCACAGGCCAGTCATGTCCTGCTCAAGATAATCACGTTCTCTATTCCGTCCCTGTCCCGAGGTGGTTCGGCAGACTTGGATAGATACCGGACGAACACTAAGGGTTATGCGATGTAGCCTCCATCTCTCTCCACATACATCTTTATCTCCCTACTTTTATTCATCTATTCATCATAGTGCACAGATAGGCATGTGGGTGTGACTGGGTGGGTGGATATAGGTGTGTACAATGATGAAACGCGTAGGCAAACTAATGCTAACGGAGAACTGTTCTAAAATATGTCTGCTTGTAAAAACTTAACTCCACTTTGTGTTCCCATAAATATTGTAAAACCCCAGTAAGACCGGACATAATTTTGTGCACTACGGGGAGTTTTTTCAGACCTGCGGGTTCACAGATGGGTCAATGACGCTGGAAGGTCAGACCGCCCGGCAGTCACGACCGATGTGGGAATTCGTGATACCAAATAATTTTCCAGGTTTAAAGGTATATATTTTGGAGAGAGGTCAAGCAAGATCAGTAGTTACAATGGTAGGACAGTGAAGCAACTTTTACTCATGCATGTTTGGAGATGTCCGAAGTAGTTTTGTATTGTGGTATGCTTTTCATGCAGATGTGTTTGTATCCTGAAGAGTCTAAATCAACTTTAAGAAATACCCTTACGTCGGATCAGCAATCTTTTCACTGTGAAACTGGATGATGTTGATTTGAATGTATAAATGTGACCCAGTGACTCATCCCGGGTGGACCTTGGAGCCCTTTGACACCTGATCCCCTCACCCGTCACCTTCCCTTACGCCGTGCCCACCAATAACGACATTTCCATTGGTACAGCGTCTGTCACGTAACGTCATTTTACCCACATAGAAGAGCAGTACAAGATTGATGGCTGCTGCCTCTTCACACTGACGCAAAATGACATCCAAAAACACCGTATTCAAACCAGGGGATGAGACGAACATTACACATCGTACTAGATTTAACACCTCACGCTCTAGTTAATGAAACTGTCATGTACTTTCCCAGCGACAGTCCCTATTCTCACGGATGACAGCCATTGCAAATGGAGCTCTGCAGCTTGTGTGTTCGCCAATGCGTTACAATGACGGAGGCAGCAGTTACAATGCATTATTTATGGTTACCATGGCGGTACATTCTGAAGTCATGCAATGTTTCTGATTTGTAGTCGTCTAGGAGTATTATTTAGAGAAACGTATTAGGGCTTAAAAGGTAACCATGTAGAACTGGTACATGCACACGTAGATTGAACTTTTACGAATACCAAGAGAATATTTCTTTCTGTTCAACCATCTCTTATTTAACGTTACAGATCAATCAAAAGATCAACTAGAATTTGTATAATCTTCAACCTTTTACAGCCTGCTTTAAATGTATGAAGTATTGACCTGTATGAACCTGCACGCACACAGCACGGTAATACCATTGTAAACCAGACGCATGGAAACTTCTCATGTCAGACGTAATCTAATCAGCGGCAAGTCTGAATCATTATGGTATAGGAGTTACAGCCTAGAATTAACAATTCTACCAGTTCAACATTTACGCCTGCATTTCTTTTGATTCTGGGATTTGGGACGCGGACAAAAAACTTCATGCGTGTTATCTCCACGCTCTAGTTCCTTAATGATGTGTCATTCTACAGGAGTAGCCATTGAAGGAGAAACCCTACACCGACCGTGAGAATGCCATGAAGCAAGTTGAACGTAAATTGCTAGGATATTGCAAACTGCAAAACTATTATCATTATGAGCTCTAGGTCTACGTAATGCCAGTAATGGCTGTTAGCTAAAGCTGTTAATTAACTGTATATGAAAGATGGTGTAATGTAATGTAATATATATATATAATTTAGCTCCAGATGTCCACGAGTAAAAGCTTTAAGCCTAAAATCCTCAATAAACCCGTTCATTTAATTAAGGATGTTTCAGACGAAATGGAAAGCAGTTTAAGCCAGGTAAGACATCATGATTATAAAGTCATCAGATTGGGTAACTTCATCAACCCTCGAAATGATGTGTCAAAGTTTATGTCTCGAACTTTTCAACTAACTTTCTTACGCAATTTTTGCCGAGAGAGTTGATGACCCTTTTACAACAGGCCGGCAGAGTCCTTTCCCAGTATGGTCCTTAGATCGCGTCAAGTATGATAAAGCACGTGGTAAAACAGTATAACTAGTTCGGATGCGCTGGTCAATGTACCGTCAAATGAAAATATCAACTCTAAGATACCAGGATTTGTTTTACGGCGCGAAATGCCAAGAAGACGTCTTTCATGTTACGTTGGATATTGATTTCGTTAAATGAAGTGCCCACTCTTAATGAGGTCAACTTCGGTTGTACTTAACGACTGTCAACTTCGGTAGTAAGTAATTATTATAGCCAAGCTCAAACACCAAGAATAGGTCAACGGTTGTTACTATTTTCGCCTGTTTATACTGTCGTGTCCTTTAGCGATATCTGGACTATGCTGCAGAGGTGTATGAACTTACAAAAAAGCTTGTAAGAGGCAAGACAGCCATTTAATTAAGCCATTTAATTAATGACCCGCCCCGAAGCGCATATCGTGTGATAAGGCCTTGTCAGATACTGTAAGGCCATGTTGATTTGATTATATGATGACATCCGCCTTTTAAAAAAAATTCGATCATTCTGTAAATCGTACAAAATGAGTGAATATGTCGTATGTTGCAGAAAACGTATTGGAAAACTATACTAATGTCATAGAATGCCGAAATCAATTGAGGAAAAGAAGAAAGTGTGAAGAAATAAAAATGAATAGTCTAGTATCATTCCCCATACTATACTCTGTGTGTTTAGTCATTTGGTCAACCTTTATGACCACGTAGATTTCATAATGAAGGAAACTTTTTTGTCAAACTTGTGTTATTCGCTCGGTCGCGTCAGTTTTGGGATTCCCAGAGGATGTCATCCATAAAATCAAATCAACATGGCCTAACCCCCGAATAAAACGAATAGAAGCGTTATAACCAATATATGAAATGGGACGTCTGATTGGTCTACGTCATCTGGAGATATGATAATGTAAGAAAAAGTTCACTTACTTGTCTCACACCTCTCTCCGAGATATCCCCTCTGACAGGCACACACCACAGAAGTCTGTGCGCCGTATTTAACAACAGTACACGTGCCATTATTCAGGCAGGGGTTGAGTCTCCGTCTGTAGTCACATATGTCATTATACTGGCAATGTCTCCCGGAGAAACCTTCAAAGCATTCGCAGTAGAATCCAGAATAATCTTGCAAACTCCGGCAAAATCCTGCTTCAGAGCAGGACTGCGAGCAGATCGGCATCGGCTGATTGTCGGTTGGCATCGTGGTGTAGGTCGCGTTAAACCCGAACAGTCCACTTGATGTCGAGGACAGTCTCGTTAACATAGACGTTAATTTGACCTGTAGAAACGCTTTGGATGATCGTATGACGTGCAGCGATCCGCCACAATCATTCCTGGAATTAAAGTTACTGGAATAGATGTAAGAATCCGTTAGATTAGACACTGACTGGTACTCCAGGTAAGTCAGGGCACTGCTCTGGCAGCTTAGGTAATTTTGCAACAAGTAGACGTAGATATAGTTCCGTCCCGGTTTGGGATTACGTATTGTCCAGATACATTCCAGCGGAGTTTTGTGAGCAGACGGGAAGTTTGGGGAGGTGATGGTTCCGTTCCGTTTCCCCTCCAGGTACCATTCACATGGCTGTCCCTCGCTCCCCGCCACCCAGAGCAGATGCAGCGGAGCGAGTAGAGTCAGCTGCAGCAGCATCATTGGTCCTGGTGGAGACAAGATCAACATAGACTCTGTTATTGTAGACATGAATAGTTTTACATGTAGCTATTCCACTTACAACGTCAACCTTTCCTCGTCAAAATGATCTATAGGAGTGACGGAGTAACATCCAAAAACTCCATTCTGTTCTGACACCTACAGCTTTTAAGAAGCGTGGAGAAGTTGAACCTGCACACACTAGTATGCATTAGCCCTTGTAAATGTAGTAAGATACCGCACTCTCACATGGTGTAATTGTGCCTAGAACTACTTAGCTTGCTAGTAAATGTACAAAATGTCTTCCATTTCTCACAAATTGTGGCGAGCAGCACCATCGTAGAGGATACAAGGCGAGACAGAAACTATGTATGTCTCCCTGTCCGGGCGGCAAAATGTTCCAACTCCGCCTGCCTACTGAGATGGTAAATGTATGCACGCACTCTGAAGCGGAGTTGAAAGAGCACAGGAATTATTTTTCCAACTTAACACATTGCCGAGCGTTTGCTGAGATGTTCAGCCTGTACAATCCTTCTTTAAACGATACATTTACTCAATATATCTGATTGCATTATTTCCCCTGCAATGATAATTCTTACTGTTAAGCCTGCGGGTTCTGTGGGATGCTGTCATAGATTTAGATAAAAGCAGAGATTACGATGGAAGGATGTAGCAATTACAATGGGGATCTGAGTACCTATTCAGCGGGATCATGGAGTGAAGAGACCATTATTCATCGAAAAGATAACATTGATTCCAGCAGACACATGTCCCAAGAACTGGTCATTCTAGCCCTGTGGTCCTACCACCATGCCAGTTTGTGCTACAGGACAATGCCCTTAAGGCCATGACCCCATTCCCGGACATTTGCAGCAAAAGTGGTCCAGGAACATCAGCAAGCCAGCGCGTTGGCGTTTCCAAGGTTAGAATTCTGTATTACGCCCCGAAGCATTGCCAAACAAATATCATTCAATGTTTAAGCAATCTATAACTTATTCTAAAGCACAACAAATTGCGATTTATATTGACTTTTTCCAACACATTTAAGCAAGTTAGAAGTTTCCCTAACCCAAGCCGTAACCTTAGCCCCCTCCCCACTATGACTAAAATATCTAAAATCAATATCCGTCAAATACTCTTTAATTACACAAACGTATCACTACAATAGATGCACGTCAGTGATGTAGAAAACCCCAATACGTAACAGGTCTTTTGAATTAAACCGAATAATGGGGTTGAGGTCGGGTATTCCCAACAGACACGGTCTTTGGCCTCGGTGAGGTCAAACCGAAAATGTAGAGAATATTGAGATCAGCAGGGTTTATTCACCATAAAGTGTCTGTCAAGGACATGGAGAACACAACCGTAAATCATCGACATTACGGGGATGGAAAGAGCAGTTCCCTGTGGGGCGTGTGCAGATGGGTCCTGTCTCTAATTTCATGCATTTTGAACACGCTTGGAAACGCTTGACAAACGTTTGATACACTTTACTGTAAGACTATTTACATTGTTGATAGTCGTATCTGTTACTGTCATGGATAGGATATACCGTAGGGTAATCGCCGACTCTTAAGACTGTTAAAACTGTAATTTCTGTATTATCGTCATTATCATTACCATATTAACAGAGAACTGAGATGTCATACCTTTCAGTTCCGTTAGGTGTCTTCAAGCCGAATTTATAGGCTTCGCGGGTGACGGTAAAGCCATATACTTAAGTAAGCTTTTACTTCTAGTTATGGGATATGGTTTCCAATGTTTGTACATTAGGTTTATCAATTTTTGTGCTTTAAATTAGCCCTCGGGCAAGAGATTTGCAATACACAATCATTTTCCAGTAGTCTTTACCTTGACCCTTGACCCCTGTGTTTGAAATCTGCGTCAACAACCGAAGCTAGGTTAGCTAGGTAACAGCTACATTTTGAACACCCGCACCATGATTGAGTAATATGTTTCTGACTGCATCTTGTTGGTGCCAGCAGTCTTTACCGACTGGAATATAAGGTATGACTAACATACATCACGTAATATTGATGCGCTTAGGTGTGGCCACAAGTTTATTAAACCATCTTTCAGACACTGCAATTTCCTGCAACTTTAATCAAAAAGGATTTATATGGCCTTCATTTACGCTAGCTGCCGGGGAAACCGAGTCCCTGGAGAGGATCAATGTGATGTTTTACTTGAGCCGGAATGTGCGACAACATTGGCATTATGTTGATTTGTTTTGTCATCCGTCAAATAACACCATTCGTTATTCATTTTTCATCATATATCAGACTTGGTTATGTTTCGAATGTTAAGTCAGTCTAGATCCTTGATTGTCACCCAGGCTATATATATCAATTATACCTTTCGGTTAGATTTTTGATTCCTGCGGAGGCAAAGGCAAATGATATTTACTTCTTAGAATTCGTAACGACTGTACATGTATCTATGTTGTCGTATGTGTTCTGGTATTATATATTTTTGCTAGTGGTATCTAACCTCTGTTGACCAGCATCAATATCATTAATACTTATCCCTGCATCACCTTTAGTCCATCTGACTGATAATCGACCACAACGGAATTCCTGGAAACTCTTGCAACCCTTTTAAGGACAGCTCTCCGGGGTCGAAGAACACTTTCCGTTTGAGACGAAGAAGTACAAAGAGCCAGAACCTTGCCACGACGGCAGGGTAGAATTAATAGTACTGTTCGTGTCGCCTTGCTGACCCCACCACGTCATAATGGACCAGCCCTTCTTACTGTCGCATTTCATACCTTTCCCGAGAAGCGTTTTACCACATTTACTTCCCGCCGATCAATGGAAAGGCTTCTATCTCCCCTCTACCCCATCCATTTCTGCACGGGAACAAAGCACGTTTCCATCCCCGAGGTTCAAAGGGCACATTTCACTACATCCCGTAAGCCGAACTATAAGGTTCCTGCACAAAACAAGGAGGGGATTTGCACCATGTAATGGTGATATCTAAACCTCCGTGAATTATCCCGGGCGCCATTAGTAGCCAAGGCAAATGTGGAACGGAGCACTCAGCGTCTCCTTTAAATTGTTTTGACGCCGCACGGCATGGTAACGCTAATTTCAGCCCAGCAAATGTATTCCTGGGGGCAGGGGGTCCAACTGCTCTCAGCTAGTAAGCAGAGTCTTAATTCTATAATGGTTGGGGAGAAACTTGGACCACTTTAGGGTGATTGGGAAGGTGCCACACACAGACTGTCAGGATTACTGTTAGCGTCAAACAAACTGTTCATAAACTGGCTTTCACCACGAATAATTGCTGTCAGGAAAATTGCTGCATGTCTGCTGCAAGGCTTTGTCAACTCTGATTTGTTTCCACTATGTGATTTTGTCATATGTTGTTTCCCATAGATTCGTTGATATGAAGAGCAATTCGAGGAAAATCGTATAATTCACCAATGTTCACACGTTCCTGGATACTGCTTAGTTCCTTTCTGAGCATCAGACCATAAATTGAGAATGCGTACAAATATGAAGGTCAAATTAATGCATCATATGAGTATGGAAACGGCTTGTTCACTATGTAATCCAACTTACAATTTCAACATTGCTTCAAGGTCTTCACTAGTAGATGTATCCTGGGGCGATGATAATTGAAGCGAACAATTTTGAAAGAAAGAAAATTGTTCCATCTATAACGTCCTTTGACAAATCGACATCCCGCACATCTCTTTCTACACCATCGCCGTTAGAGTTGAGTTCCGGTGAAGATGAGAATACTCCTCCTTCTCGCCATGAAAGGATACACTCAAAGACTGCCGCGCCATAATCACTGTCGCCAACTTGTCTGATTGCAGAGATCCGTCCTGATTTGATGCCTGTCCGCAAAAACACATCGCACTGCAATTGTGTGGAATGTGTTGTAACGTAATGTTCTGCTGTCATTCTGAAATCATCTAGGTGATGGGGCACCAGCAAGGCGAATGGATGTCTGATAAATACAAAAAAAAATCAGAGTAGCTGGGTGCAATGTTTCATTGAGAGTGCAGGTTTTGTTAATGGTTGTGAACTAACAGACGTCATCAGCGACGAGAGATTCTTTCTGCAACAGAGCTAAACGTTTCTGCACAAAGAAGCGACAAATGGACTCCACAGACCCTACTTGTACGTGGTGCTCACATGGTTGGGAAACGCATAAAGGCTGAGATTCAATACTATTAAGACGTCTGCTATTCCCTGGGTAAATGTTCAATAAATAATGCATTTGTACTGCAGCAAGGTGTCTTCAAGACTTGCCGCCCAGGGTGGAGAGTCTCGTGCGACAAAGAAGACGTAGAAGCAAAAAGCAGGCCAGAGTTGTCGAAGGAATATTGTGCAAATGACGCACATATAGTCCATGTGAAAAGAAATAAGTTTTAGGGAAGTCAGAGAAAGACACGAACAAGTGCGCAGGGAGAAAAGGGACAAAAAACTAAATCCTAGAAATAGTTGCTAGACCTCGCACTCAACTTTGACTGGCTCAAATTTTCTATGGAGAACTAGTGAGAATCGGGGTGGCCTATGAAAAAATACTGGCAACATTATATCTACACCGTGTGAATTCCAACGACCGATTCACACAGCTCTGAGCTCTATCGCTCGGTATCAAATGTTGAACATGCTTTCAGTTTCTCTCCACAAACCCTGAGGCGTAATTGAAATACGTATATTCTCATTAAATCCCCCCTATGAACACACGTCAGGTATTTTATTAAATCAAGATTTGTATCGACAGAAATAAAGCCTCCCGTTGAAAGCACCGATGGTGTTTTATCGCTTTACCAGTAGATAAAAGTACACTCCTCCTTCTTTACACTTTGATAGCTCTTTAGCCAACCATAAACGCTGCAAATGGCGCATTGGATGTCTGATGTGACGCGTGGAGAAGACAGATGGGCCATCCTACCGGCTTTAGTCGTCTGTAGTGTTTACGTGCCCATCCTGATACTTCAGACTACGGACGGCCATTTATCACACGGTCAATCAATGATCCCCATAGCTTG